AATGTATATGTTCTCAGATGCTTTCATATATTTGCTACTGATTGGATGAGGAAAAGGAAGGTTTCCTTGTCGAAAACAAATGAAGTGTCGTGAAGCAAAAACTTAACTTGGAAAGCCGCTAATGAGGAATGATTTGGGTGCTATCTTAGTTGGAGGGGACCACGCGGCGGCGCGGCGCTCTGTTCGTCTGCTCCTCCAAAGGCTTAGTCCCAGGGGCAGTTACTATTTCGCCATCACGTGGCAGTTTCGAAATACGCGCCATCGGGGACTAAGCCTTGAGGAGCAGACGAACAGAGCGCCGCGCCGCCGCGTGGTCCCCCCCCCCAACTAAGATAGCACATGATTTGGACAGGTGCCAACTCGTCAGATCCGCCTTTGATTGGATTCGCCCACTTGCTAGCCGTGGAGATTAGAGATTGGACTACTTTTCGTAATTGAGTGTAAACTGTAAGGCTAAAATGAAAGCTGCCGGATTTCTGTCCAGTTTTGTTGCTCACATCGTTTGACTATCGTATTTCTTTGTTTATAGGGCGCTGCTGAACATTGGAGCGCGCATTTGAACCGCAGCACGGGTACCGAGGTCCTTTGAATGGGACTAATGTCCTTTAGGCCTGTAGCAGTTCTCAACAATTTCCGTGACTGCTCTGGGGTAGCCCTTCAAGATCTGGTGACGTTCGCCTCGCCCCTGCGCGGGAGGAGAGCAACAAATGCGACCCTTCTTCCATCCGGCTGAATTGCTGCACCGCCAAGCGAATGTCAATGTTCGTTGGCGGTGCAGCAATTCAGCCGCAAGTCGTTTTCTCCAGCAATGGAACTCCGTAGAGTTGAAGCCCATTTTTTTGTCATGGTTCTCGTAAGTGCGCAGAGAATACGACAACTGGGTACGTTGAAACTACAGCCGATAATATAGGGCACTGCGCGCCTCACCATGAATGTGGTTACTTTTCACCATGCCGATAAATCGTTCCAGTAGTGTATGTATAAGCTAAGCCCGCAGACCTTTACGAATGCGGATTGTCGCTAGCGGATTGTAATAGTAGGATGCGTTCCAACGGTAAGTATGACCTTCGACAAGGAGAATAATTCAATCTTGTATTACGGCTCACAATAGGTACGTTGGATCGGACATCTGCGGATTTATAGACCATCCAACAGAAGAGCTCTGCCTAAGATGGCAACAAATGGGCGCATTCCACCCTTTTATGAGGTGGTGAAATCAAATTCGTTTCTTGTCACGTATCTCTCGATTCTAATAGACCCAACAATCATCAATTCATCTGCTAACGAAGCATGCCACGGCCAAAAAAATCCTCACCTTCACCGACCGCCATTCTCCATTATACGAAGAACTAAATAAATTTAAAGCAACAGTTCAGGAACGGTTTCGCGGGAAAAAACCACCAATAATGAAGTTGTAGATGAAAACCAGACGATTAATGTATGAAAAACTGGAAAAAAACGTCGGGGAGGGTCTTAGACAGGTACTCTCCCTCTGCCGCTCAGCAATGGATAAAGACGCACGTTGGACGAGTTGTCTGAACGTGCCCGCTGTAAACGCGCTCCATTTTTCAATCAATTTTCCCTGTGGTCCCAAAACGAGCACGATTGCCGACGCGTCCAATGACGGCCGGCAAGGGGGCGGGATTGGGGAAATCCCCAAGAACACCCATGTTTGAGGGACTTTCCACCCTGTTTTTGAGTTTCTGAGGTAAGTTTCGTCGTATTATTTCCTGCTGCATATATTTCCACTGCGTATGTTCTTCACTAGGGCTTCGTGTCTCCTCAGTATTTAGTGGCATGAAAATTTCTCGGACTTCTGCCTGAACTGTTTTGCTTTAACTCCATAACGGACGGCCACGTGTATTTGTAGGGTTTATGTAGGCTTATGCGAACAGCAGGGTTAAGACGGGGCTAAAGTAGGTGTCCTTGTCTCATCATCCAAAAGAAGAGATTTCCGTTGACGACAACTTCGTAACCCGCCTTTCCGCTTAAAACTAGGGTGCAAAGAATGAATGGAAGTGAAATCATGGAAAAATGCGAACAACAACCCCGAGCAAGGATGTGGCTATATTTAGGGGAAGGGGTCTCGGGACGAGTGAACCATAAGTGAGCCATCCATCAAATAGTGGATAAGCTGAAAATTGGAAAAAAAATGGAAAATTTAGTCGCCACGGGGAGTCGAACCTTTGGCAGTACCTGGCACTTCTTCTTTGGTACTGCCAAAACAGTTCAGAGAAAACGAAACATGGTTTTGTGCTCACTAAATAGGTCTCTGTAAGAAACTGTCTTGAAAAAGCGTGGCTTGTCCTGAAAGAACCCCCTTGTAAGAGTTGGTCACAGTTCCTGTTATCTGGATTTTTTTAAAGTTCTTAGTAAAAACTTTACAGGAATCACAACATACAACATGCCCCAGCACAAGATCCCGCTGTCTGGCCAAGCGTAGTGGCTGCAACAATCAAGGCCACCCTCTTTCGATACAAATACCTACCTTATTTGTTCAGGTAAGCCAAAGCTTGTTGTCTAACAACTCAAAATTTTCGTCATTGTTGCCATGGACATTGCAACAGTTGTCATAATTATTCATTTCATCATCAAAGAGCCCTCATTCAGCTTACATTTCCTTGCATCCATGAAAGGAAGGACTGTTATCCGTCCACTATTTCTACGAGTATCCTGATGATGAGGAAACGCACAACTTGGGCCATCAGTTCTTATGGGGGAGTTCGATGCTCATCGCCCCTGTAGTCCAAGAAGTGGGTCTCTAATAAATTATTATGTTTTATTTTTAGGAAATAATAAGTATTTGGATATTATAGACACACTACGCGATATAGGAAGTGTGCAAATGCGCTTCAAATGTGAAGGAGTGGGCACTGAGCAGGGTGAAAGTCGGTCGAGGGTTCATTCGTCGACGAATCCTAGTGGAGCGAAAAACAAATATATCAGATAAGAGACCGCAGATAACAGGGCAGTGGGTGGGTGTGGTTTCTTAAAGCCACAAATTTGAATTAGTGTTACGAGGTAATACTTCTTAGAGTGAGGAAAAGGGCTTCCCAAACTCCTTAGCAACTCAAAAGTACGCAGCAAAAGCCTTAAGGCTATACCTGCTCGTTGTCAGCAGTGCCACTCTTACCAATCTTCATACGTGGCGTCTGCGCCCTATCGCGTACAGCGTGCTCTCTTGTATTTCCTTCGTTCTCGCAGCGCTGGTCTTTTTACCCTACATTAGATGATCGAGATAATGAAGGGTCTGACAACTGTCCA